GTTCTTCCATGCTTTCTCTCTTGGCCCAGTTGCACCCATCAGTGACATGATATCCTTTACTACTTAGAGGGTTATTTTGTTTTCAATTGGTATCTTCATTCCAGTAGGTTTGTTAGCTGAGCCTTCCTTGATTCTACCAGACTTAGCATGCATGTTATGGGACTGGAGTCTTTTTTTTGAAAATGCAACAGAACGTAAAGTGTGAAGGGTATTGCAGAAATATGTGGCATGTTATAAGCCTCTAACTTAAAAGATGGCTCATGAAAGGCCATGCTGTTCTTACAGAGATCCTCACATGCTAGAAAATGTAGTGAACTGTACATTTCTATTTACCTGACAAATATCTTCTAGCATAGGGTTGTTTGAGACAGTGCAATGAAATTAGGATAATAAAACTGATAAAAAAGAAATGCACATCTATTTCTCATTTACAATCAAGTCACCACTGGCAGATGCTAAAATCCCAAGAGAATTTCACAAAACCACAGGATGCCTCAGCAGCACTTAGTTTTCTGTTTGAATCTGATTTAGCTGAAAGGTACAGCTAGACAAATAGCTCCCTACTGGCTATCTTTATGAAAAGAATCAAAGATTGTGAGTTGTTCTTACTTCTAAAGCAAATTCTAATCTATGCTCATCCAGCTCAAAATTCAACTTTTACCATCTTAAAGTCTCAAGGGAGACGTAACAATCTACAGCTACTTAGGCAGAAGTTATAAAATGCGTGGCTGTCACTCATTGGCATCATGCAGGAAGGGAAGAACAAAACACCAAAAGGGGTGCTGAGGTTAAATATCAAAGGAAATCAGTTTCATAACTTAAGGAGAATCCAGGTTGCAAGATGAGCTGCGAAGGGGAAATTTGAAGTCCTGCATAGTGTGACCTAGTGCTAAGGACTAGGCTTAACAACTATAATTTACATATTCTTTATCTTTCAGTAGTGTCTCTGAGTGTGTAAATCTGGAACATATTTATAAGAAGTCACAATCTCTGTTGTGGAGTACTCATTACATGAAGAGAGAACAAATAAAATCAGCCAAAAGGAGAAAGCTACAATATATTACAATGTAGTCAGGCCAATAAATGAGAAACACCGTAGTGCTGTTCACTAATTATTTATTGACCAATGGGTTCTTTGTTGAGGGAAAAAAAACCAAAACCCACAACTAGAAGTAATTTGAAACCTGGATGAAAATTGCCATTTTGAAACTATGCAAAGAAAGAGTCATACAAGCATTGTTAAAGGTTTTTCGTTTAAGTTGCTTTTTTTCTAGCTAAATTCTCAGAGATTTTGGTGATGAGCATAAAACAGCTAGGAAGAGGAGTGCCTGAATCTCCTGCCTCTCTGAAGCCATTGTCAGAGGCCCCATGTCAGGAACCCGATAATCTATGGTTCAAATCTTTTGCAAAATTGATCTGATATAGACAAGCTCTGATACAGATGAGCTCCTCTTTCTTAGGAGAGTACCCTTAAATACTGGAATACTGTATTTGTTGTGATACAGTGGTCTCAATTCTCTGCTTCCAGAGTTTTCAGTATGTGTAAATGATTACACATTCATTGTAGCAAGCTCTGGAAATCAGCTGTCCTCTAATATCCAAAATATGAAGTTGTTTTTCTTAGACCTAAAGTGATTTCTCTTGCATTGAGTCACAGATCCAAAAAATCAATTAATTGTGCCCTCTAATCAAGGCTAATTTATGGATTACTAAAATCATATTTAATGCAACACTCAAAGTTTGCAAGATTATTCACTGGAAAAAAACCCTCTAGCCATAATTAATTACCAGACTACAAGATAGCATAGTTTCCAGGTATGTGAAGGGTAGGATTTTTTACTCAGATCTGCTTCTAGACCTTACCCTGTTACTGGCTTTTAGCAAATAAACTGATATATGTAAGCATGAACAGCATAAACACCATGTAATACTAGTTGAGTTGCTAAGTATTTGGTGTAGTTCTAGTGTTTCTGAGGATGTTAAATATTTGCTCAAATACAAATGTAAGGGGTAAAACAAATAGAGTTAAATATTTTTCTATTGTACCTGTGGCCTTGACCAAAACTGAAATTCAAAGAGCAATTGATAGTACACCTGGGGCTTAACAAATTGTTGGGTAGTTAAAAGAATGTGTTAACTGCCCATTCTTTCAAAAAGATTCAACTCAAGATCTACAAGCTGAAGGAAACAGTTTAGTAACCAGGACCAACAAATTACCCAAATCTCATTCAAGAAGAGTGAGAAGAGCCATGTTTCCTGAAGCAACTAACCTGTAGATTTTTCACCACAGTGCCTTTGCATTTGAGCTCATAATTATTCTAATCACATCTCCTAAAGATACTTTCGCTGACTTAGATATAGCCCTAGTTTTGACTCGCAGCAAATTAATTCTAAACAAATCAAATGTTAGCTGTTGAATTTTCTGGAAAGGTTGGGATTAAAATAACTTTATCATTCTTTGTTTTGCTGGAAAAAAAATAGGAGTTTCTCTCATCAGCATTGCATATATTCAAATGTTGGCTGCTAGTAAGGACAAGCAGTAACTAAGTAACAACATTTTTCTGCTTGACTTGGTTGCCTGTATAGAGCATATTTCACTGTTCAGTAACCTGTTGAACTAGGCAAGAAGGGAAAGGGAAAGACTAATTTCCATATTATCTGCACAAACATGGCCCATAGGCCTTTGGAGCAATTGCATAATTAGAAGATAGGATGATATGAAAGGAATTATTTTTTCTTTAATATTCAGTCCTCCTTCAAATATGTTTTGTTCTAAATAGCCATGTGAATATTAAAGTAACAACTTCATATTCCTAATAGGTTGTCTAGAATAAATACATAAAAAAATGATCCTTGCAAAATAGGCTAATTTGAGGCTATCATGATAATTTATTTATAATGTATTCCCTCTCTCCCCATCAAGGCCCTCTCGGCATTACACAAACAATTATAAACTGTATTCAAAACATCATCAAATATGTACCATAACAGACAAACAAAATAATAAAATCAGACCTGAGCCGCATTGTTGAAAGGGGGTTTGAAAGTGCTACAGGTGGCAGCCGACTGCAGCACAGAAAGCCAGGCCTTTCAAATAAGTCCGTTAGCCATTTTTTTTCAGAATATCCACATTTTTATTTGACGGCCTGTAGTTAATTCAATGATCAAAGTGTACACAGTTTTTACTTCAGGTTGTTTTACTGAACTTAAAAGCTCAAGTTTAGAGCCGCAGGTGCCATTATACTTCTGAGCACTTACCTTTACAATTTCTTCTCTTTCTCTCTTGATAACAATGAGCAGTCATTGCTGCAAATGTGGTACTGTCTCCTGTGTTTCACTTCTGATTTATTTTTCTAGTGGGTATATTTTCGGCAAAAGGTGCTGGATGGGGAGCTGGGAAGAGAGCAGTCTGGTTTTGTGTTGAGCTCATAAAGCAGTAATACTGGTGGCCCCGTGACACCTTCTGCCATACACGATGGTTCCTATTTCAAAGGACTTTCTCCGGGGTGAATTGACAGAATAATCTGTGTCCTTTACTCACCATTTTTATGTATGCCTAGACTGCTGAATCGGAGATTTTCAAAAGAGCCTAATAGCTGTATCAGTTCACAGGGGAGGGACTCACTGGGGCAGGTACTTGCCCTCCGAGAACTGGATCAAAGCCCAGCAGCTCTTTTGAACAATATCTAATTGACTGTGGTGCTGTTTGAAGACATTTTTGCCCCTTTGGCAGAGATGACCACTCTTGCTGCCCTGGTGTCTGAAAGGTCTGTACGAACATTTTCAGTTTGTTTCAGGAGAAAAGGTTCTTGGGATGGCAACGGACAAGCTTCAAGTGCTGACAGGTAGTTACGTGTGCCACCACATAGCAGACATGCACAGAAGAGCACATCTGTTCCTTTCCTTGTGGAGGCGGGACAGTACCAGAACAGCTAACTGTGAAGGACTGTAGGCAACTTCTGTGTACGTGAAATTCTCCATGTATCACAATTAATGTTACAAATGCAACACATGAAAAGGCGGAAATTACTTTTGTATTTTAGTTTTTCAAAATAAGTCCTTAAAAGATTATTTTCCAGCTTTCAAATATTAAAAGAAACACTGTATACTTTTTGTCTTTTTCTCTGAAGAGATAAAATGTTCTGTTAAGAGTCAGTTTTGATCAGTCAGATCAAAATTTCATTCTTTTTCTTTTTTTAAAGAAAAATGTTTTGACTAGCTATATTATCCAGCCTTCTTTCCCTGTTTTATCAGTGCTGGTACACTGTGTTTTCCTCATTTATCATTTTTACAGTTAGAGCTCCATCACAAAATCTATATTAAGCTACAGCCACTCTGACTTCAACCTGAATTTGTTGAGAATACAGTTCATGCTGACTACTTGAACATTTCATCATCAGAAATGGCTGTTTCACTGACTTGGAGCCTTTCTGGGGGCAGGTGTTGATTTTTTTACTAAATTTTCCTTTAGAAAAACTAAAAAGAAAATGTGTTTTCCATTTCAAAATTACTTCTGTTTAAAATATTTTTTATTGTATTGTGATACAAGAGCTGACATTGGAATAAATTATCTGAAATGAACCCTTTTTGTGTGGGAAATTTCAAGCTTTTGTGTTGTTGCTCAGAACAAAAGAAGTCTTCAAGTGACTTAAAAGTTCCTGTAGCATAGAAATTTCCTATTTCAGGTAAGTAAGAGCAGCAAAAGATCCATAATTTGCTTCATATTTCAGGAAATTACAGTACATGATAGCTCAAATTAAAAAAGATATTTGAAGATCAGGTTTCTTTTTTTCCCCTGTATGACACTGTACCAGTCAATCCAATTAAGTTATCTGCTATGTGTTTCTTGACTCTTGTTACAGTAAAGCAAATGAATTGATTTTTTTTTCCTATTTCATTTTGAGAGAAAACCTGGTTTTCTAACCCTTTATATCAGTGAGAGCTCATGAGAGTTGCAGTGGTTCAGTAGCTCTTAATGATATCTATTTGTTTTGCTCTAGTTTTCCAGATCAAGATATTCGCAAGACAGCAGTCCAACAAATAGAAAATATGTCAAATGATGAATTGTTAGAATACCTCCCACAGCTGGTTCAGGTAAGGAAGAAATTGATAGCCATGGAAGTCTTCTGTCCAGATCAATAACCTCATTAAATACTTTTGATTCTTTCAGTTTGATACATTGTAAGAGGAATAAATAAGAAACGCCGGTCAGCTGATGCAATGATTGAATTAACAACAGGGCTGAGGTATAGACTGTTTTCCACTCAAGAGAACAGAATTGTTTCGACATGCTGATTGAACTTGTAGTATACAGAAAGGAAAGCATTTTCATGTCACAATGAAAAATAAAAAATGCATCTGAACAACAGAAATTGTGCTATGACCACCAGACCAGGGGCTGGTGGTGGCAGGGCTTTGTTGCAGTCAAGGAAGCAAATGGCAGTGTAACAAATCACAGTTTTCTTAATACCACATATATGGGGAAAATCATTGTTAGCACAGAGTAACCAGGGCAATTTGGTTGTAGAATTGTCTCTTTATAGATGTACATTGCATTTCACTGGAAATTAATGTTTTACAAGCTACAGACCCACAGCTTCCAAAGCAATCACTTTGTGGTTGAGTAGGTCCTGTGCTGCAGTTAAGGAGGAACCTTTGAAAGCTTTATCCCCTTACTTTGTAACACTGTGCACATGGATTGCTTACTATTCCATGTTTCAGAGTTCCTCAGGGTTTTTTCTGTCATTTTAAATATATATTTCTATAAATGCATGCACATATGTACATATATCTAGATACATATATATGTATGAATATATTTGTGTAATCCACTACTGTGAAGCAGTGGAACCTGCACAGCTTCACAACATTCACACAGCAGGACACTTATGTGACCTTTCACCTTCCAGAGCTTCTGTTTCACAAATAAGTTTATTTTGCAAACCAGGTAATCAGATAAAAATTTAAATATAGCATTGATAGTTTTAAGCAGGGGAAGAAAAGCTGCTTATTTGCATATATGTTAAGACAGCTAGAATCAGGATGATAGCTGCCTGTCTTACAGATGGTGGCAGACACGTGTCCTGAAGTTTCGTTGCTCATTGCATTGCTAGGACATTCTCCATATGTTGATTGCTTCGTTAAAACTAAGCACTGGGTCCTTTCTGATTAATTTTCTTACAAAGGAAAGATGACAAAGCCAGCATACAAATGATTCTTATTATTAATTTATCTGTTAAGGTGCTCAAGTTTGAGTGGAGTCTTGAAAGCCCTCTAGTGAAACTCCTGCTGAATCGTTCTCTTCAGAGCATCCAGGTAGCCCACCAACTTTACTGGTAAGGTCATTTGCCATTACTATCACAGCCGTTTTCTGTTACAGTGAACTTTATCCATGATTCTATTGGTGACCAACTTGCTTTTCGTTTAAAATCAAAAATCAGAAAACCTAGGGTTTGGCTCCTTCCTTATTCCCCTTACAGTACTGGGTATGAGTAAATTGTATAAAAGACCTAATTATCTGCCTTCCTCCTGCACCTCGCAGGAGGGATTGGGGGAAGTTTGGTTCACTGAAGTAAGATACCATTTGTATTTTTCTGCGTTTTCTGGTTTGAGCCAAATAGTCTTCCTCAAAATTTGCAAGCTCCAAGCAGCATTGGCTTACTTATAAGGGATCCTGCTTTTCCGATTTCTCTGACCTCTCCTGAAGTTGTCAGACTTCTCACATGTGTCAAAGTGTATCTCTTACCCCTTAGCATATCATTCTAACTTGTGATGGTAGAGTTTCCAATAGTTTCTTCTTGTGATTATGGAGATGTACCAGTCCTGACAGTAACTGCCGTTCACCATCTACCTTTACAATATAAAGACCTCTGTAATTGTATTATTGCATGTGGTGGTTATTCTGTTTGCTGTGCTGTTACTTCAAGGTGCTCTGAATAGGAATGTGGCTTTCTGCTGTCTGAATGACTGCCCTGTGATCTGAAAATCAAACTGTTGTGGATTGGGTTGGGTTTTTTTTTTTTTCATGTTTAGTAATGATGGGTGAACTGAACTTTCATTTACAGTTTCACTGGTTCAGACCCCTTAAAGGAAAGGCTTTCCTCCCTGCAAAGGAAAGACAACAACTTGAAATGTGATCATTTGGTTGATGAAGTGTGAGGTCAGAAAGAGCATAGATCATACTTTCATACCTGCATGATCTCTGGAAGTGTTAGTGAGGATAAAACTGAATTATGAACGTGTTTGTTTCACTGAAATGAGTAGGATAACAATAACATGCCTAATGAGCATATCTGTCAAATGAAGAGGAACCACATTTAGCAAGCCATTTTTCTGACAGTGCCTGAAATATGCCTGAGACTATTTCTACGATCTAATGTTAAACTTAGTCATACTGGATATAAAATGTCCAGTCTAGAGTTCTTAAATGTGCCCAGAGAGTTGGTAGTTTTCCTGTACAATTAGAAATGATTGCTGGAGTTCAATGGACAGTGGGAACATCATTGGTTTGCCTGTGTTTTCTTTAACTCCTCTCTTCTTCTCAGAAGAAAAATGACTAAGTATCTGCAGTCATCTTGATCTTTACTTTGCAGGGTAGACCTGTGTAGATCCCCATTTTTTTTTTCCCCCAATTTTTGTTCAAGCTGTCTAATATTATAATCTTGGGTAATATAGAGGAGATATCCCATCCTGAATAATAGATATCCTTATCTGGCACAGTACAATTTAATGTGGCAAAATACATTTATTTAATATATAGCTTAATATATGGCACAACTATATATACTCACATCGAATAGAATATTTCTCAATGTTCACTGTGTTCTCTGCCTTTCAGCTGGTAGTAGCCCTGTTCATGCTGGGTACCTCTTTTATTTAGGCTTTTTGTTCAAATGTTTCAATCTAAACTGAGAACTTTAATATGGCACACATCTCTCAAAATTTTGCTTCTTGTATTTGTCACACTATACAGTCTTTTTCCTTTGGTTACTCTGCTGCACCATGTTCTTCAGTAGTAAACTGTTTTCTACCTAACATTTCAATTTATGTAATTATTCATATTCTTGTTCCAGTATTTTAAAAGGCAGTTTCCCAAGTCATAAATTCTATTTAGAAAATTTAACAGTAATTTCATAGTTTTTATTAATAAAGCCTTAACTAATTAATAAAGGCTTTCCTTTACTTCATAAATTGAATTTCAGGCCTTATAAAAGTAATGGAAAACAGAGTTTTTCTTCCACTTATCTCTAAAGAGATTTTAGAAATAAGCTCAATGATTTAATAATGTGGGGAACACATATGTGCATGTACACTCACATAACTTCTTTTAAGAAATGCAATTAGGTAACATTCTCAAGTGTTGCATTCTGTTTCATTACCAAATTAGCAATCAAGAAGCGAGGACTGGTAAAAACAAACTTCACTAACAAGATTATGTTTATTTTTAATTGTAATGAATAACATTACCATTCCACTATTAAATAAAACAACATTGTGCACAGTGTACCCACCCAAAATAAAACTTGGAAAAGAAGACTCTAATGTAATTCAGAAAACTGGTGATGTGATTTCAGAACCACAGGGGAAAAGTCAACTGATTTTAACTTCCATGTTTTACAACACTATTGTAAATCTAGAAACTAGTTACCGGAAATGGTGGTGACTGTCAACGCTAACTTCTTTTAATGACAAATATAATTTATAATATCTCAGTTATTTAAAATTGACTCAATTTCCCTGCACACCAAAGATAAGCAGCTACCCAACAATGATGTACCAGCTCATCACCTTTTTAATATTAATGTTGGATAGTAAATTAACTCCTTTCCATCAAGAAGTGATAAGTTAGTCTGAAGATTTTATTTAAAAATTCTGGGACAGTAATTGGCAAAGGTGGACAGAACAGCTAGAATATTCATTCTTGGGACACATCTTTAGCTGTTGTAAATCAGGATAGCTTCAGTCTGTTCTTTGCTTGTATCTGCTGTAGATTTGTCACATTAATTCTGCTATTTAGAGTGAAAAGGTAATTGACCTTACACCTTTTGTGTGTTTGGGGGGGGGAGGGGGTTTAATCACGTGTGACTTTTCTGTTCTCTAAATTCTTGAGGAATTTGGGCCTTCTGCATCCATCAGAGTTTCAACTCCTCATTGGTACTTTTGAATGCACTCCCCTTCTCAAGGAGACTAAAAATTGCCCACACGTACAGTGCCAGCACAGGACCCATGTACCACTTAAATCCCCTTTTAGTCTTATTTCAAGATTTTCTAATGTCCATGAGGCATGGGGAACATTTACCCTGCTCCCCGTCTTCTGGAAATTCACTCTGATTCTAGTCTTTTCCCATCAGAGTTCCTGGGAGGGGAGAAGGCTGGAGCAAGTTTTCCCGTTCCCTGGAGCTATGGTGAGAAGAGAAGTTATTAAACTGGTTCTAGCAAAGCAGAAAAGTTGCTTGAGGGGAAAGAAACCTGCTGAGCCCCCTTGGGACCTTCTGCTTGCTGAAAGTCTCCGTTTATCTCCTTGCTACTGTGTTTCACACACAAGGGGTTTTTGTCAGCTTTTGTGCTAGAGTTTTAATCCACCCCTCTGTCTCTGGCAGCCTGCCAATCGGTTTCCCACTTGCTTGAGTGTTTTTGGCTTTTAGCTACTTTCACATGTTGGCAGCTGCAGTATACCACCGAAACAGCTGGCTGGGGCAGCAGGTGGCCAGGACTATGTCTCACAGATGGTTGCCTTCCACAGGAGGATTTAAATAATGGGGAGAAGTATAGTGTCCTCTAGGACCTGTGGCACCTGCTTGAAGGTGGTGCTAAGAAACAGGTTGCATTGTCATGGAAGAGTACGAGTGCTGGTAAATTTTGGCGGAGCATGAGAATGTAGTATGTTTAGCTCAAGAAAAGAGTAAGTCAGATGAAATCCTTGCTGAAGGCAAAATGTCCTTGTGTACCTTGTCTGCTAAGTCACTGAAACTTTATAGAACTTTCCTAGTTTGCAGCATTTCTCAACTACATTTTGACGGACGACCAAAAGGGAGTAGTCTTTTATCTTTTCCAGTCCACATCTTGTTGATAAGTAAGAATGTGAGATTAAAAAGGAGCTCTTAGTGAAATCCAGCACACTGAAAGCAATGTGAATTAGACTATTGATTTCAAGGCTGGAACATAATATTTTACTTCTGTTTCTTTTTCTATATGAAGAACTGTAAGAAGCAAAAAGAACATAGCCAATGCAAAAAAGTTTAAAAAGAACCCAGTTAAATTCTCTGCTACTGGGAGGTTTATCCCTCAATACTATGTTTTCCAAAATTGTCACCACTTAGTTTCATTCTACACTCCAGTATTGGAACAGTAGAGTATTGCTTCATCTTTTCTGAAAGGAAATATATTTTTCTTTGTCAAAACTGGTCTACATTAAACATAATTTACTTGAAGACTTCAAAAGAAGGAATAAATCAAGCAGATGCTCATATGTCCAAATCTCTTAATTATCTGAACATTAAACAGGCAGCCATCCTCCAGCTCTTTCTCTTCCCACATTATGGTGTCTTTCTCCCACAGTCAGAAGTTATCAAGTCTGCTAATTATTAATGAACTTACTAAATAGCTGTGTAGAGCAGGCTGAAAAGCCCAACCCATTAAAATGACATTAATGTAAATACAAAAGTCATCTATTTTGTTTTGTGTTAATTTGGTCCTTCTTACTGATCAGAATCAAAAGATCACTTAATCATATATGTAACTTTAAACACATGAATAGCCAGTCCTGATATATGTTTGATCAGTTGTTTTGCTAGTCTGCATTAGGATTTGAGTTCAAGTCTGGAGCTGCTCAACCTTACAAACCTTCTGAGAGTAATGTGTGTGCTGGTTTTGGCTGGGATAGAGTTAATTTTCTTCACAGTAGCTAGTATAAGGCTGTGTTTTGGATTTGTGCTGAAAACAGTGTTGATAGCACAGGGATGTTGTCGTTCCTGCTGAGCAGTGCTCACACCGAGCCAAGGCCTTTTCTGTTCCTCCCCCCACCCCACCAGCGAGGAGGCTGGGGGGGGCACAAGGAGTTGGAGGGGACACAGCCGGGACAGCTGACCCCAACTGACCCAGGGGATATTCCAGACCATAGGATGTCATGCTCACCATAGAAAGATGGGGGAAGGAGAAGGAAGGGGGGGACGTTCGGAGTGATGGCATTTGTCTTCCCAAGTCACCGTTACGGGTGCTGGAGCCCTGCTGTCCTGGAGATGGCTGAACTCCTGCCTGGCCATGGGAAGTGGGGAATGAATTCCCTGTTTTGCTTTGCTTGTGTGCGCGGCTTTTGCTTTACCTATTAAACTGTCTT